AAATACTGAAGATGTATTAAGCAATTTCATTTTACAGTGTATGAACAGATTTAGAAAAATGTTTATGTGTGTGTGTGTATATACATCAATTACAACAATAAACATGTAATCGTTATGCAGAAAATTTAATGTAACCCATATAAAATCGGAAAGGTGATAGAATTGTTCTTAAACACGGTCACATGGAAGGAATTAAACAAAACACAACATATTATACTCTTTAGGTTAAAGTATTAAAATATTTTATAGGTAAGCATGTTCTTTTTTTGTATACCGGCCAGTATATAAACAAATTGAAAGATGAAAATTAAACATTTGCAAGAGATTATTCTTTATCACATAGAATTTATTATGCCTTTTCAGTTGTGTTCATATACATTGTAATAATCATTGTTCATTAACAAATTAGTAACGATATGGAGAATCAAATCCATTCAGAATTAATCATGAAAGAAGAAAAACTAGAAGAGTCAGATCAAGAGTTGAGCAACAATAATATTACGACAGTAACAATAGCAGTTAGTACAAATACATCTACCACTACTACTATTGCTATCGAAAGTAAAGGTAATACACATGATGGAGCAGAGTCAGCAATTGGTATCAGACCAAGGCCATTAATTTGTAAGCCAGAAAATGTAAATATTGGATGTAAATCAGAACCCATAGAAAATAAATGGCATTGGGCACCAGGGGCATGGCAAGATGCTACAAGGACAAGCGCTTTTCAACCTTACAAAGTAACTACTTATATTGTACTTGAGATGTATTAAGATGTATATTTACTCAAAAATATTTTTCAGCCACCTACTTTACTCACAAATTTGCAAAGAGGTAATACACAGACAGAAATACCTCAACTTTATAGTAATAGTGATATTACATTTCACACATTGGCTGGGCAAGGAGAACTGACTCCTGAACAAATACATCCAAGTATGGTAACTTAAAAGAATTATATATTGTTTGTATTCAGATAATATATTAATTCATAAACGAATTATATGAAGATACCGTGGATTTACCTGATGAAAAAGGATTAACTGGTCTTATGTGGGCTGCTGGATATGGACAATTAGGGAGTGCAAGACAGCTGCTTAAAGCTGGTGCTAATAAAAACTATCGTGGTCTTAATGGAGAAACACCTTTGCATTTGGCAGCTGCTTATGGACATCATGATCTTGTAAAATTATTATTAAACCATGAGGCAGATTCAAATGCAAGCGATGAGGTACAAATTATTATACTATTAACTAATTAAGAATTCCAAAATAATAGTGAATTTTATTTAGGAAGGAAATACTCCACTGATGTATGGAGCACATGGTAACCATTCACATGTGTGTTATGAATTATTGTCACGGGGAGCTGATGTTACAAAACGTAATATACATAACATAAGTGCTTATCATGCAGCAGTATTAAACAATTCATTGACTGGTAAATAACATATATGTAAAAAAAATACTTTTAATGATGTATTATAACGATCGTTAATTTAAAAAATCATTATTCATTGTTTCAGCTAAAGCAGTTATTGAGAATTATCTATTACAACAAGTGGTTAATGACCCCTTATAACAAAGTACAATTATATGCTTTTATAGACTCAAAGAGTTACACAAATAGAGAATTAATATTTATATCTTAACATTTTAATAAACGTATATTATTTTCATTTCTGTATAATTATTTATAGTACATATCTCTTAAGGACCGAGTACTAATTAGCAAACGAAATATACTTTCCATTTTTGTGAAGCAACGTTCGTTAATTGTTAATACGTGGTAAATGCAGATAACAATGAAGGTTCCACAAACCTTTTTAAAAACTGTCGATTAATATTTTGTATACATATACACAAGCATTTATGTCTTATATTAACATTGGTTTCAAGAAGAAGC